TGTTCGACTTCCCTGAGGCGAAAATCATAGAGCACCAAATCTCGCACGGCATAGCCCCAGAGTCCACGAATAAGTTCGCCCCCGCGTGCCCGCACGAGGGTTTCCTTGGGGGGGGGGTCTTGTATTTGGGCCTCGCAGACAAGTGCCTTGCAGTGAGCCACGTCACAGCGAATGTCAGCTCGCATGCGCTTCGAATGGGACCGAGGACTTAAACCTACATGGACCTGGCGCATCAGTGCAACGCGGACCTGAAGCTCCAGGTAGCGACGTTGGATGCCCTTCGGCAGAAAGGGGCGCAGCAGTTCGGCTACTTCGGGCCCCGGCGTTTCGACGACGAGGCCTGGGAGGGTTCGCCTATTGGTTCGAGGGCGCGCGCATGAACTCGTACTTCCCGGCCCTCAGCTTCGCCCACGTGCGCCGGCATGCCCCGCCCGCCGCGGTCGGGGGCGCCGCGCTCTTCCCACGGGGCCCCGACAGCCGCGACGCGGGCGAGGCCCTCATGAAGCAGCACGGGCTTCCCTTCTTTAACAGACCGGCCAGGGGCGGTTGCGCGACGCTGAGGGCGAGCAGGCTGATGCAAAAAGGCCTTGCGCACCCTGTTGTCTTGAGGAGCCTGGTGCTCATGCCCAAGACCAAAGACGACGTCCCGTTGTCGCATCACGGTCAGGCCATCGCGACGGCAGCCTTTCAGACGTGCTGCACCCAGGCTTTAGGTGAGATGCCGACCATAATCTGCATGATGTCGCCGATCTTCCAGTTCGCAGATTCGCGCCGGCACGGGCGCTCCGCGGCCGTATAAGTGTCGCTTTCTGGACGTGGCCCGAGCGGGTCCCCTCTGGCGCGCTTGCCTGTGGATGGATCGCGACGGTCTACAAGGTCCTGATTTGTGTTGTAGGGTTCCGCTCCTTCTTCGGAGGACTCGAGCAGCTGGCCGCCTGCCTCGGCAGCGGCCGCCTGGTCGTGCGGCGGGCGCAGCGCGCGGCGGTGCTCTGCCTCATCGCGATGTTGCTGAGGGCCCCCCTCCTCCACTACCCCAGGCTGGCGGCCACCGCCTTCGCGGCGTCGGGCGCGATCTGCTGGGCCCAGCTGCTGCGCCTCGCAAGATCGCTCGAGTTCGTCGGGAAGCGATCTCTTCCCATCGTATCCGCGTGGCAGGGCGCAACGTCGTTCCTCCTGGCGACCTCTGTCGTCGTGGCAGCGGCGGCCCAAACGTCGCACGCCCTGACCACGCTGCCGCTGAGGGCGATCCTCGTCGACGCCTACCGCATGGGGTTTCTGGGCGACCTCAAGCCCGGGCTCCTCGTCCCAGAGCCCTTCGACCTGGACGAGCACCCCGGCGCGGTCGCGAGCCTCGACTCGCCCGACGGATTTCGAACCAGCTTCGCCTACCTGTCCATGATGGCGTTCGGTTTCATCCTGACGGCGTCGATGGCAAACGTCTTCATCCAGGTCATGGGCGACGCGCGCACCTCGAGCAAGGGGGGGGCGCGCGCCACGCTCGCGCGGGCCCGGGCCGAGGAGAGCCCGATCTGCTCGCTGAGGCTGGTCGGCCGGGGCGCGCTCCTGCCGCGGCGGGCGGGCCCGGGCGACCCCTGCGGCCAGTTCGTCTAGTTCGCCCAGAAGGGGGGGCGGCCCCCTTCGACGGCGCGGGGCGACGCGCCCGGCACCGAGCAGGCGATCCTTCAGTGCGTGAATTACCTACCCCGCTTTCGCTTCCAGGAAAAACCAAGTCACGCCACGCGCCCCCTCGTCGAGCGACCTGACCAGCACAGGCCGCAGTTTGGCATCGCTTTGGCATCTCTTGGAAGCGAGGGTGGTCAAAAGCGAGGTAGGTTTGTTTCCCCCCTGATCCTCGCGGCGGTGGCGGCCGCCGCCGCGAAGGCGGCCGCGGGGGCCGCGGAGCTGCCGGGCGGCCGCGGCGGCGCGGGGGGGCCGCGCGGCCGCGGCGACGCGGGGGGGCCGCGCGGCGGGGCGCCCCGCGACCCCCGCGCTGCGAAGGGCGAGGGGCGGGCAGCGCGGCCCGGAGCGCGGCCCTGGAGGCCTGCCCCGCGCGCGCCCTGGGGGGAAAGTAAGACGATGCGAAGATCGGGGCAGAATCGGATCGGGATAACTCGAAGTCTCTGAGAATCGGCGGGCTTGGAGGATGCACTGGGCGCCGCGGCCGCTCCAGAGCGTTCCGGAACGCTCTGAGAGCGCTCCAGAACGCTCTGGGGCGATTTATCCCGATCCTACCCTTTTTTTAAGAGGGGGGGGGAAGAACGCGCCCCACCTTCCTGCGGCTGTCAGCTGCGCCCTACAAGCAGACCGGCACGTCTCAGGCGAAGCTTCCCCCAATCGCACCGCGGCTGTCAGCCGCGCCCCGGTGGGGCATCGGCTTGTCTCAGGCGCGGTCAGTTTGCATCGCTCCGCGGCTGTTAGCCGCGCCCCAGCGCGGCATCGATTCGTCTCAGTTGCCGCGGGGCCCATGGCTAGCAACCCTTTCGGGGCCGACGCTCGCGGGGCTGCGGATTTCGAGCTACTGCAGTTTCGTTGCCGGGCGGCCTCGGCGCTGCAACATTCTGCCAGTGGAAGATCCCTCGCCTGTCTTTGGTCGGCCCGCCAGGATCCGCGATGGCTCGCGGCGGTAGCGCCGATCATCCGTTGGGCCAGGGAGGTCTGGATCTCCCGCCATTAGCTGCATTCGTATTCTGTCCCCTTGACCGAGCTCAGAGAAGCTGGGGGCGTTGTTTTCCGCGGGGAGGCGCGGCCTTGGAAAAATGCCCCTGGGCTTGCGTCGGCCCGCTGGAAGCCTCGGGGGCGCATTTCAACGTGGAAACATTGGCCGCGATCACTTCGGGCCAAGGAGACAAGCGGTCATTCGCGGGCTACGGTGGGACTTGAGGGCCAAACTTAATTTGAATAGGAGGGCGTGCGTCGATGGAGTTTCGAGATGGCTCCAGAGCTCTCGGCTCAGTTCCCTCCAAAAAGGATAGGTGAGGCCTTTGTAATTTAACGCCGTTCGCACTAGGCAGCGCGCTGTCGACTAAGGCCACGCTACGCCGCCCACGCCGTGCCCGCTGCGCCTCGACGCGGAAGACGCACAAAGGCATCGTTTATGGCTATGTGCGGAGGCGTCGAGCGAGAGGGGGCTTTGGTCAAGGACAGGGTGAGAAGGTGGGCGGAGGGCGCGGGCGACGGGCTCGCGTGCTTCGGAGTTTTCAACCACCTTGCCGAGTGTTTCCCTCGCCCCCCCCAGTCTGGCGGTGCGCAGGGCGAACGTGTTTCTCCTACTGATGGGGGCCCCGCGCTCGACAGCGCTTTCGTCGAGGATCCATTCGCGGCTGGGTCATGCAGCCAGAGAGCCATCCCCGAACTCGATCGCGCGGGTTGGGCCTTCTCGCTCTGGCATCGTGACGCAGGTCTCGGGATCGTTAGAGCGCGGAGGCCAGTCTGGCTCCCGTGTCCACAGACGGCGGAGGCCGCTGAGTTTCACGCTTACTCGATCGCGTTGCAGTGGTCGAGTAGTCCTTGCGAGTTGTTTGTTGATTGCAAAGCCTGCGTTGATTTTCGCGTCCTTCCGCGGGAAGAGCAATGCTCTCCTAGGCGCGCGCTGGAGTTGCTCAGCGTCGGTCGGGGGTTCCCCGGCGGCGCAGAGCGTGCAAAGTCAAGGCCCGCCAGTTCGCCGGAGGGGCCGGATATAGCTGAGATCGCCAATTGCGTGAAGGTTACCATGCTGTTGACGCTTCGGCGAAGCAAGCTGAGTTGATCCACTCGCAGTTCGACAGCACGGAAGCTGAGGATGTATATTGCGAGCTTGCCATCGCGAGAGCTTTGGGCATCCCGGCCGCGAAGGTCCGCTCCTGCGAGCAAAGAGCAGGGTCCGACGCGCGCTTGGAGCTGGACGGGGCGTTTTTGACAGTGTTCTAGATGTTCTTATGGATCACGCTCAGCCGACAAGCCGCCCGCGCGTTTGTGCCGCGGCGGCGCGGGCGTCGGGGTCCGCGGCGTGGATGCCCCTGCGTTTTCTGCTCTGGGGCACAGCGTGCTGTTTCTGGGCGCCTCGGACGGCAATGTTGTTTCTGTGTGCCTCGACTGCGTGTTCTACACTGGAGGTGGGCAGGTTCGAGGCCTCCGACACCCCTGCCATCCGATCCCGAAGGGTGGAGCTCAGGGTCGGAAGCGCGCCCGAAGGCAGGTCGCGGGGGGCGGCATCACAAGCGTGGAATCGTCGCGGTCTCCGCTTGGAGACGGAGGCCCCCCCCGCTGAGCCCCCCCCCCTCCTCCGCGGCCTCGGAGGGAGAGGGTGCTCGCGAGAGGCGCTGGGCTGATTCGGCCCAGCGATTCCTTTCGGCTGCCAGCGCGCTCCATTCTTCACCGAGGAGACAGCGACGCCGATTGGGCATTTAGGAACCTGCTCCATATTGGTTTGGTCTGTTGGTGGGGTCGGGGGTCGGGCTGGGGTTGTCCCGAGTCGCTGCCCGCCCCGCCCTACCTTGCGGTGTCTGGCTGGACTTCGCTTTTCGTCTCTGATTGCGCGTTGCTGGCTTGTGCCCGCGCGCTGCTTCCCCCCCCGCGGTGGCAGCGGATTTGTTCAGGCATTTAGCGGACTGCCCCACGTTTGTCCGGGTGTACGGCGGCGTCGCGGGTCGGGCCCTGCACCGGGGCTGACCCGTTGCAGCGCCCGCCCGTTCTAGCCTAGAGCGGTCCAGTTCTTGGCTGGAACGGAACGGGGCCGTTCTAGTCTAGAACAGGGTCATTCTAGTTTAGAACAGCCCCCTTCCTGCCTTGGTGGCGCCCAGGGCTTCGCTCGCGTTCTTTCTCGCCCAACCTGTGCGCGCGGGCATGAACTTCGAGCCTGCCTGTTTGAGTTCGGTTTGTGCTTTTGTTTTTCTTTTGTTTCGGGGGTCTTGCCCTCCCCCGAGGTGGCGCGCGGGTTGCGTGCTGCGCTGCGGCAGCAACTCCTGCTCTTCCTCCTTCTCCTCCCCCCCCTCCCCCCCCTCGTCGTCCTCCTCCTCCTCCTCAGCCATTTCGCGCCCGAGCGGCCTCCCCTGCGCCGGGGCCCCTGGGCGATGTGGCGCGCCAACTTCGAAGTGGCGTTGCGCGCCCGAGCCGTAAAGAAGACATGTTGAGGCCAGACCTCAATCAAGAAGCAGCGCGGAGCCCGACGTCATCAGCTGCAGCGCTGAGACCAGGCGAGCGCGCAGCCGCCAGGAAGCCCGCCCCCCTTCCGCCCCCCCCCCCTCCTTCCTCCCTCTCTTCAACCTCCTGGCAAACCAGAGCGTCAACAGTTGCGGCGCCGCGGTCAGAGCGCAGGCGATCCGTCGAGAAGACGAAGGACGAGCCCGACGCAAGCAGCTACAACGCTGGGCTCAGGGTCGCAAGCGGGAGCCAGACCATGCACCTCACTGCGAGAAGCGGGATGGTGAAGGTCGAGCCCAACGCCGTCAGCTACAGCCCACTCCGCATCCGACGCTGGAGGCCAAGCTGGTGGCCGTCGAAGGTCGAGCGCGATACCGTCAGTCACAGTGCGGCGATCAGGGCATGCTACATTGGGCGTCAGATGCCACGCCTCACTGCGAGAGGCGGGAGGCGAAGCTGGAACCCAACATTGGAGTCAGAGGCCAATCTAGTCTAGCCCTATACCACTATTATGCGAGAAATGGAAGGCAAAGCTGGAACCCGCCTCTGAACCCGACGCCCAAGTGCGAGAAGCGGGAGGCGACGGTAGAGCCCGACGTGATCAGCTACAGCGTTGGGGCCGAGGGAAAAGCGAGCACGAACGGATGCGCCACGATCAGCTACGACGCTGGGGGCAGTCCGTGCGAGAAGGGTGCGCGCAGTGGCAGCACACGCTGGCGCTGCAAAGCGTGCGGGTGGGCTATGATCAGCTACAGCGCTGGGAGCGACCCGTGCGAGAGAAGGGGGCAAGCAGTGGCAGCGGACGCTGGCGCTGCGAGAAAACGCCAGCGGGAAGGGGGATGTGAAGTTAGAGCCCGATGGCCTTCTAGCTAACTCCGCTAGAAACAGCGCGTGCGAGAAGTGCAGGGGCGACAATCGGGGCAGTGGATCGGTGCACCTCGATAGCTTCGGCGCGAAACGGCAGGGGGGAGCTCTGTGGCCAACCTCTTGCGAGACGAGGGGGGCGAAGCTAGAGCCCAAGTTCGTCGAGAGTTCTGGAGAAGCCTCATGCGATCAGCGGGGGGCGTAGCTGGAGCCCAAGACAAGTCTCGAGCGAACCACTTTCAGCTACAGCGCTAGAATCAGCTCGTGCGAGAACGGAACGAGTGCTGGGGCGAACAATCGGGGCAGTGGATCGGCGCACCCCGAGGGCGTCGGCGCGACATGGCAGGGGGGGGGGTCCTGGGCCAGCCTCATTGCGAGTAGCGGGGGGGGTGAAGTCGGAGCCCTTTTCGTCGAGAGCTCTGGGCGCGCTTTTTGCGAGAAGCGGGGGGCAAAGCTGGAGCCCAGGTTTAGTCTCGAGCGAGCCACATTTAGTACAGTGCTGGACCCGATTCGTGCGAGAACAAAACGCAAGCAGCGGCAGCTGGGCTGCCAAGGCGTGCGAGGAGTGGGGTGTGGCTCGGGGGCGGCCCGAAACTGCCCCGCTCCCGCGGTAGCAAATCCACGGGGCGTTGCTAACCGTTTGACCAGCTCTAATCCTCCTCTTCCTCCTCCGCCTCCTCCTCCTTTCGGTTATCATCCCCCTCCTCCTCCTGCTCTTGCTTTTGCACGGAGGGGAGGCGGAGAGGGAGGACAGAGGGCTGAACCACCCGGAAGCCGCAGCAATGCCGGAAAATTCGGCCCCAAGGCGGTGAAGATGGCCGAAGATGGCCTCCAAGATGCTTCCAAGACGGCTAAGATGGCCCCAGGAGAGCCCCATATGGCCCCAAGGTGTTTCCAGGATTCGACGCCGGAGCAGGGAGGAGTGGGGAGAAGGGGAGGGAGGGAGGGAGGAGGACGGGGATTGATGGACGAAGGGGAAAGGGAAGCGAAAAGGAGCAGGGAGCAAAAAGGGGCATGAGGGAGGAATCGCACGGAGTAAGGATGAAGGGCGAAGAGTGGCAGAGGAGGGAGGTTGCCACAGAAGCGCTCGGCCAGTGTCTTCCGCCTCATCAGTGGTAGCGGCACAGATGCCAGTCAATGCAGCTTACCTTGCATGGGCAACCATCAGCCATATATATATATACACACGTATATACGTATTGGGAAAAGGGAGAGTACGTAATCGAACAGCGGCGGTTAATCATAGGCCGCCTTACCTCCTCGACCTTTGCCTTCCGTTGCTGCTCCTCGTCTCCCTCCCTGCCATCTTTTCTCATCGCGCCCCCTCCATCCTGGCACTCCTCCGCCCCCATCCTCCTCGCCTCTGCCTTGTCCCTGTCGTCGTCCTCCCTCCTCGTTCTCCCTCCTCCCTCCTCTCTCGTCTTCTCCTCCCTCCTGCCGTCGGGCTCTGCCGCTCAGCTTGCCTCCCATCGCCGCAGTGTGGGCGATTCGAGCGCGAGCGGGCAATCCAGGTGTTCACTTGAACTGCGCAGTGGAATATTCGATTGGCGTGTCTAGTGACTCGTACTTCTCAGGACGAAGATGTCGGAAATTGGAACACATATATTACCAGTGGCATGCTATTTTTTTCAATCCCAGGACTTTTTGAGGGTCGGGGACGACGTCGGGGTGGTGTGGTGTATACTTGTTTTCCGTCTCCCAGGAAACAGCGAAAAGTGTATACACCAGGATCCCGTATACAATATGAATCGTTCTCCTGTGCAAGTGTCAGTGCCGGGCCGGAAAACGCGTTTGTGTTATAGAGATGATGGGGATGATGGGGAGGGGAAGCAGGAGGTGGGAGAGGAAGGGGAGGATGAGGAGGAATGCCAGGAATGCGCTCGAACCATTTGGGCCCATCCGCTCGCGTAGTGCGTCTCCAACCCCGGACGCCCTCGCAGCAAAGCGCTCCCTTTCAGCCGCGCGTGTGCGACGCCCTGCCCAAGGCGAATAATGCAAAGTCACGCTGCCCGACGACGACGACGACGACGACGACGACGACGACGACGGCGGCGGCGGCGGCGACGACGGCGAGGTGGTCCGCCGAGGCCTCCTGGTCACACTGATGAAAGTCCTTTGGTCATATTCCTTTTTCTGCGCATCCTGCAGGAGACACCTCCCGTACCATCCGGGCCAAGCCGTGCACGCAGCAGCTCCGCGAGCAGTTCTGCAAGCGGCCGGCACCCGGCTTCGAGGGAGCTCGGCCCCAGGGCGCGGGGGCGCGGGCGAGAGAGGCAGATGCAAGAGGCAATCTGATCCATGGTGGCGCTGATTGGGCTGGTGGCGCAGCGGCAGAGCGTCGGACTAGGTGGTCCCAGTGGAGCGGCGTGGGCTCTCGCTCCGGCTCGCAGGAGAAGTCCGAGTCTCATCCCCCGGGGGGTCGTCCGCGCGCCCGAAGTCAAGCGCACATGCGAGAGGGGGGAGAGTGGGAGGATGAGAAAGAGGTGGACGACACCACAATGAGTCTTTCGGTGGGGGCGCCGCCGTTCTGTGTCGCACCCCATCGATTCGGCAAATGTCTTTCACTCTGGCGTCTGAGCGTGCGCACGAGCTGCAACGCCTTACTTCGTGGTGCAGGCACACACTGCTCGGCATAATGCAGCTTGTTTTGTCAGCACGCCCGCTGTCAGTGAGTTTTCGCGCGCGACGTGCGCAGGCGCGCATCATTGTGTTGGCTGGGCGTGTTCAAAGCTAGAACGTGATGTTCCCTAGTTTTAGTGCCCGCGAATTTTTACACATGTTGTGCTGGATATCTCAGTGACACCTACTTTGTCAGACAAGGACCGTCGGGTTTTGCTCATGCGCACAGTGAAGTGGCGCACTTTGTGGGGCATTCCTTGTACAGCAGCCCGAAGAAGGGGATTTGGTGGGGCACCCGCTGGTTTTCGTAGACCTGCATGTGCACACGTTGCTCACGCGAAAGGCGACGGTGTATTTTGTGGGGGTACGGACTTGATGGCTACTACCTTGCGAAGGTGAACCGCGGCGATGGTCGTAGTTGTGGCGGTGGCGGTTGTGGTGAGTTCGCGGTGAAGTCGGAAGTATATGAGAACCGGACTGTTCGCGATGAGAGTGTCACGCTCCGAGTCGTTCGCTTAGCGTCGTTAATGCCCGGGCCCTGCCGAAGTGTATCTTGGTCTCGGTGCATGTATTGTCGCACGCATTGCTTGTCGTCTCCGTGCCGCTCTTGGGATGCCTCTCAGGGGACTCTTGGAGAGGTCTTGGGGGCTTCTGGGGGGGTTCTCGGGGATCCCTCTTGACGACATCTTGGGGCGTCTTTGGAGGGCCTCGGGAGACTCTGGGGGGCTCTTGAGGTTATCTTGGGGCGGAATGCTTGAAATGCTCTTTCGTGTTCTCCAACTTGGGCCCCTCTTGGGTGCCTCTTGGGCCGTTTGGAGGCCTCTTGGGCCGTCTTGGGGCCGTTTTGGATCGTCTTGGAGCCTTGGGGGCCTCCAGGGCAGAGCGTTGGAAGCTGAAACAGGCTAGAAGGTGAACGTCCTTCAGTATTCGACGCGAAAATCCCCATAAGTGCATCTTTATATGCTTGCGCACTTCCCGCTGCGAGCGTCTGCGTGCGAGAGAACATGAACATGAACGGGTCTGAGTGCGATCATGTGGGAAAAGATGAGTCTGAGTGTGAATGGGCCTGCATGTGAGTGAGTCTGAGTGTGAATGGGTCCATGCGCATGAGTGTGAATGAATGTGGGTCGTCTGAGTGCGGCGGTGAGCCTGAGGGTTGAGTGTGCTTGAGTGTGAGTGGTCTTAGTGTGAGTGTTGCGAGTGTTGTGAGTGTGAGAGGTCTGAGAGTATCTGAATGGAAATGTTTTAGAAGGTCTGAATGGTCTGAGTGTGAGAGTGGGTGGTCTGAGTGTGAGTGGTCTGAGTGCGAGTGCCAGCTTAGGCTATGCGTATTGGGTACCGAATGCCGAAGCAGGCGAACCGCCTGCGACATCCCCACAAACTGGGCCCCTTGGGGTGCTGGAGCCAGCGTCCCCCTCGAGACAGCCCCACGCTCTGCTTGGAACGCAAACGAGCCTGGGGCCCGAAACAGGGAAGCCGCTCGAGGCATCCCCGCGATCTGGGCGCGGAGGGGTCCGCGGTACTCCCCCCTGGCGGCTCCCCCTTTGGGGCGCACAAGCTGTTCGGACAGCCGAGGACGTCGTGCACGCAAGCGGGCAAACCGCTCGAGACTCCCCACAGCCTGGGCGCCAGTCCTGGAGGGTCCCCATCCCCGGCGGCTCCCCCTTGGGAGTGCTGAAGCCAGCGCCTCGCTTGACACAGACCTCCTCACACAAACTGCTCCGAAAGCTCAGGATGCTGCGCACGCGAACGCACACCGCTCGGGACGTCCCCACAGTCTGGGCGCCAGTCCTGGAGTTCCTGCACCCTGGGCGGCTCCCCCTCGGGAGTGCTGAAACCAGCGCCTCGCCCGAGGCATCTCGACATACGTCTCCAGCAGCAGGGGGTGTTGCACGTGCAAGCAGGCAAACCGCTCGAGACATCCCCGCAACCTGGGCACGAACCCTGGAGGGTCCCCACCCCTGGCGGCTCCCATTCTGAGTGCTGAAGCCAGCGCCTCGCCTGAGACAGGCATCCTCACAAACTGCTCCGAAAGCTCAGGATGCTGCACATGCAGACAGGCAAACCACCTGAGACATCCCCACAGTCAGGGCACGAACCCTGGAGTTTCCCCACCCTCGGCGGCCCCCCCTTGTGGCAGTTCAAGAGCCGCGCCTGGGTATGAGCGTGTCTGGGTATGAGTGAGTCTGAGAATGACTGAGTCAGATTGCGAGTGAGTCTGGGTGAGCCTGAGTGTGCGCGAGTTTGAGTCTGAGTGAGTCTGAGTGTGAGCGAGTATGAGTACATGTGAGTCTGAGTGTGAGTAAGTCTGTATATGAGTGAGTTCATGCATGAGGGAGGCGTGTTGGAGGTGAGGCAAAGGCGTCCGAGTAATAACAAAAGCATCATCTCTGGATGTGCGGAAACAGCGCATGAGGGAAATCAATGATTTGGGCTTCTTAGGTTTCTCTTGGGGGTGCTCTTGGGGCCCCGTTGCAGCTTCGTAGGGGGCCTCTTTGGCCGTTTTGAGGCCATCCTGGACGTCTGGGAGCGTTCACGGGGCGACTTGGGGCCCTCGTAGACTGTCTGGACGACCTTCCAGGGCTTTCTTGGCCCCTTTGGGGATCCGCCCGGTTTCCAGAAGACGCACGCGACACGCCCCCAAGAGCGCCCGGATAGCGCCCGGGAAGGCCCGGGAGACCATGCGCCAAGGCCCTCAAGAGACGGCCGATTGCACATGTGGCGATGTGCACAAGGTTGGTAGCGTGCTTTGAGCGGGTGCCGGGAACTCGTCGTTACAAGTTCGATTGGGAAGGCCTCGTGTGGTCTGTTGCATTTCAGTGGGACTGCTTTTTGGCGCAGATCGCACGTGGAGAGCCAGAGTGCGAAGCCATTGGGTTCGTTGCTCTGACTACTACTCGCTCCCATATCCACATTCATACAATTGCTTCTTCTCATGCTTCTGCAGTTGCTCCTGCTACGGCTACGGCAGCTGCAACTGCTACAACTTCTGCTGCTACTGCAACTGCTACTGGTCGGACGAGTCCTGCG